GTGTACCTCGGCAGCGGGGTCGATGTCCGCGACCTGCTCGCGGACCCCACCCAAGAGGTCGGCGACGGTCGGCGGGTTGTTCGTGGCCGCCTCTTCTTCGATCATAGGGATCAAAAAGTCCACGAGGGCGCCGCGCACATCACCGTGCAGCTCTGAGCGGGCCGCAACGACGGCCTTGATGATGACCGCTGTGGTCACGGAGAGAGGGCGGCAGAAAGCAGCACTGTGAGGATATTCCTCGCCCACAACACTCTCGGACCCCGGGCTAGAATAGCACCGGGCGAGCGGTTACTTGAACGCCGGAGTGGCCCCGGGACACGTANCGCCGCGCACATCACCGTGCAGCTCTGAGCGGGCCGCAACGACGGCCTTGATGATGACCGCTGTGGTCACGGAGAGAGGGCGGCAGAAAGCAGTACTGTGAGGATATTCCCCGCCCACATCACTCTCGGACCCCGGGCTAGAATAGCACCGGGCGAGCGGTTACTTGAACGCCGGAGTGGCCCCGGAACACGTATGGAGCTGCCGCGCGGAGCTTTCTGCGGCAGTTGGTGTATCACTTCCGATCGGTACAGCGCAACCACGTGAAACTCAGTACTCCTCCAACACCCTATCGACGAACCGGGGGAGCGACGGGTAGGTGGTGACATCAACCTTAGTGCAGAAGAACACCTTGCAACAGCAATAGAACAGAGTCGGCATCCCCGTCCATGAGTCCTGCCGTCAAAGTACGGAGAGGGTGGCGGCACGTAGGGATAGGGTGGGTTCGGAGGTTGTCACCAAGATTATTCGAACAGAATTAACATGTCTCGGGCATTACTGTCTCTGTGTACGAGTTTTTCACGTGTTGCACCTCAAATAGAAATGAGTTTGTTCAACAACCGACCGACGACCAATGTAGGGTGCTCCAAAGAAAGGTGACATATCCGACGACTTGCAATGCGGAGTTCATCGAGAACGGATNGGTTCGGAGGTTGTCACCAAGATTATTCGAACAGAATTAACATGTCTCGGGCATTACTGTCTCTGTGTACGAGTTTTTCACGTGTTGCACCTCAAATAGAAATGAGTTTGTTCAACAACCGACCGACGACCAATGTAGGGTGCTCCAAAGAAAGGTGACATATCCGACGACTTGCAATGCGGAGTTCATCGAGAACGGATAGAGAGGGCGGTTGCAGCAGCAACGAGCTCAAATCGTGCCATTTTTGTTGTCAAAGGCCCTCATCGTACACCATTCATCATTGTGCCTCCGAAAACCGCGGCGGGTACAACCGGGGAACGTCCAGACTATACAAGTATAAGTCGGATACACGGAACAGCCGCTCCCATTCATCACGCATCTGCTCTGTTTTTTTGTGTCCCGTACGTATCTGTCGCGGGGGTCTTATTCCGGCTCTTCTCGTCAAACGTTGTGTTGGGAATAGCTACAATGTCTGGTCCACATACCGTATATGACACAAGATAACAAACCCCCTGGACCGATCTTCAAAGCTCGACGAAGCGGATGCATAAACGAAACGATACATTTTCGAAAAGCTCTCGACGAGACGGTTTCAACGCCGCCGTTTTCGACGCTGTGACTGTTAGACCTCGAGATTAGAAATTTTTCAGGGCGAAAAAATGTCCTTGGTCGCTAGCCGAATAGACTTTTAAAAATATTTTCCAACCAATCAAAACAGCAGGATCGGCGGACACGTCACAATATTTTGGACAAGCCCGAGACTTCTTTGTCACCACATGCACGAGCTGGGTACAGCTCACTCTCTGTGCATTTCCGCCTGCCAGAAGTCCGGTCATGGCACCGCCGAATGCTACACATCCGCTCCTCTTCATTTTCCAGCATCCGCGCTAGCTTCTTCGCTTCTTCCTCTGCCGATTTTTGCTTTGCGGCAAGCTTGCGCTTCACCGCAGCCGCCTGTTTCAGCTTGTTGACGTGAGCGACGCATATTCGCTTCAAGGCAGGGTAGTCCTTGTCCTCGAGAGCCTTCAAGCGGCGCGCATCAACTCCCGCTTGGGAAAACGTGATACCAGTTCGCGCCATAACGTTTTCGCCCTGTTCCTTGAAGCTTTTTCTTCCCCTCCCCTTTGTTCATTTCCTTTTGCGTCCAGCGGTGCCCATGAGAGGCTTTGCGGCGTTTGCAATCTCTCTACCGCAACAGCTAGGATCGGGATGCGGTTTGTTGCGGTGTGTGCGCAAAACCCAAAGGAAGCGATCACCCGGTTCAGTTTTTCGAACTCAACGGGAAAAAAACGAGAAACCTGGCCACATGCCTTTAAAATCCAGTGTAAAACGTATGTTCTCAGTCTTCCGGGGTGCGGACAAAATATCCAAACCGGGTGATTCATAGAGTATGATCTGTAGACGGGTGTTGTAAAGGTTAAAGCGCTAACTCTCCACCTGGGGCCAGCACTTTTGATTGTCAAATCCCGGTCTCAGTCCAAGATAATAATATTTCGGCCACCGAGTCAGGAAAAAAAATGTTTTTTGTGCTGGTTGTTATGCCGATATTTGCTGGTCGTTAGCGGTCTAATCTCGAGGTCTAACTGTTCCTGCAGTTGAGAAATCGAGCTTCGAAAATTGGTCAAGGAGGTGTGTTATCTTATGTCATATACCGTACACATTTTCCACACACCCATAACCGGCTTAACAAACACTCAAAGGCAACATTGGGGTCAACACAAACGTTTGTGCGTCGCAACCGAAATCATAATAGTTTTTTTAATGCTTTTTTTTTTGAAAAAGTGTGGCCCGTTAGAGGTACGCTTTTTGTTTTGTTTCGCAAACAAAAAGCTGTTTAGAGGGATCGTGGGTGGAGTATGTGCGCACGAGATAAAGAATAATTTTCATGCACAGGGGGCGTGAAAATTTAGCCATGGCTGTCTGTCTGTCTGTCGGGTGTCTGTCTGTCTGCGCGCCCTAAATACCCAGCAGACTCGAGCCCATTTCACCATCTCGGCACCAAATAAAACTTGCGCACAACAAGTAATATTTTGCCCGAGCTGTCCCAACCGCTACCTTTGCAATCCGTGGTCGGTGTCTCGAGATAGCACACCGTTTGTGCAAAGATATATGTCACATGGACGCCTCCCCGGGAGGCGTCGTCATTTTGTTTTTCTCTGGGCAACAAACTACACGCACGCAAGTAACCACGACGCACTGCCGTGCTGCACACATTGCTGCTGCTACTGGCAAGACACGCACTACACAGAGACAGGGAACATGGACAAGGGGGGCGGGACACACACACATACTGCTGTTGGCGACGGCGGAGGAAGCGGGGAACGTTTGGTTGGTCTGGGGTTCATTCATCGCTGATGATGTTGTTGCTGTTGTCTCCGTTGTTTGTTGTTGTTGTTCAACGCTGCCGGCCTATTTTTCGCCTTTCGTTCTCTGGAGAGAGAGGGAGTCCCACCAACCAGCGTGTATTGCATACACCACACAGCGAGAGCGGGACGGGAGCAGGGTGTGCCCTATACTACTGCTGCTGCTAGCTTTCGGCGGAGGAAGCGAGAGGAGAGATATTGATTGGGTCTCTGTGGGTCCATCGGTTGGTTGTTGTTATTGTGTTGCGACGCGGCGGGAGGGAGCGGCCTCTGACTCTGCTCTGGAGAGAGGCACACATACATCACAGCACGGGACCAGTAACACATCACGCTCGTTCCTAGACGATGTAGTACCACTGCTGTGCTGTGCACCTCTCTACACTCATTGTGGGCGAGAGGGTGTGTCGCCTCTGCTGCTGCTGCTGTTGCTGTTATCTAAAGCGGTGGCGGAAGCGTCCTGTTCAAACAATCAGCAGCAGCAGCAGCACAAGCCGGGGAATTTTTCAACGTATTTTTTTTTTCTCTAGCTGATGACGATGGATGACACTCCCCCCCCTCTGATGATAGCACCCCCCCCTCACGGCTGACGATGGATAGCACCCCCCTCGCTAGCTGATGATGGACACCACCCCCCCCTCTAGCGAATGATGATGGATACCACCCCCCTCTCTAGCTGGTGATGATGGACCGCCCCCCGTTCTTCTGTAACAGACGCACGAGCCTACTGCAGGTACTTTTGTGCAACCACCACAAAAAACTATTCCACCTCCCGATCTAGTAATATTTTTTTTTTTGTGAAAAGTGTGGCCCGTTAGGGGTACGCTTTTTGTTTTGTTTTTACAAAAAAAAAGCTGTTTAGAGGGATCGTGTGTGGAGTATGTGCGCACGAGAAAAAGAATAATTTTCATGCACAGGGGCGTGAAAATTTAGCCATGGCTGTCTGTCTGGCGTCTGTCTGTCTGTCTGCGCGCCCTAAATACCCAGCAGACTCGAGCCCATTTCACCATCTCGGCACCAAATTGCAAACTAAAACTTGCGCACAACAAGTAACATTTTGCCCGAGCTGTCCCAACCGCTACCTTTGCAATCCGTGGTCGGTGTCTCGAGATAGCACACCGTTTGTGCAAATATATATGTCACATGGACGCATCCCCGGGAGGCGTCGTCATTTTTGTTTTTCTCTGGGCAACAAACTACACGCACGCAAGAAACCACGACGCACTGCCGTGCTGCACACATTGCTGCTGCTACTGGCAAGACACGCACTACACAGAGACAGGGAACATGGACAAGGGGGGCGGGACACACACACATACTGCTGTTGGCGACGGCGGAGGAAGCGGGGAACGTTTGGTTGGTCTGGGGTTCATTCATCGCTGATGATGTTGTTGCTGTTGTCTCCGTTGTTTGTTGTTGTTGTTCAACGCTGCCGGCCTTTTTTTCGCCTTTTTTTCTCTGGAGAGAGAGGGAGTCCCACCAACCAGCGTGTGTTGCACACACCACACAGCGAGAGCGGGACGGGAGCAGGGTGTGCCCTATACTACTGCTGCTGCTAGCTTTCGGCGGAGGAAGCGAGAGGAGAGATATTGATTGGGTCTCTGTGGGTCCATCGGTTGGTTGTTGTTATTGTGTTGCGACGCGGCGGGAGGGAGCGGCCTCTGACTCTGCTCTGGAGAGAGGCACACATACATCACAGCACGGGACCAGTAACACATCACGCTCGTTCCTAGACGATGTAGTACCACTGCTGTGCTGTGCACCTCTCTACACTCATTGTGGGCGAGAGGGTGTGTCGCCTCTGCTGCTGCTGCTGTTGCTGTTATCTAAAGCGGTGGCGGAAGCGTCCTGTTCAAACAATCAGCAGCAGCAGCAGCAGCAGCACAACCCGGGGAATTTTTCAACGTATGTTTTTTTAAAAATACAGTAGTCTACATATATTACGACTTAGCAGACCACGCGCTGGCTCGAGGGGGGGGGTCCGAGGGGGGGTTTACCCCCCCCCGGCACTCGTATGGTGACCCAGCAGACAACGCGTGCGGTGGACCAAGCATACCACCCGTGTGGTGAACCCAGCAAACCACGCGCTGGCTCGAGGGGGGGGTAGTTTGACCTAGCATATACGACTACACGTGCGGTGGACTAGCCAAACCATGGCCAACAAACAGCAGTAGACTGCTGTGTGACTACATGCACAGCAGTATAGCGTACAACGGCTCGCACGTACGACCACGCATCATAGGCACACACATTCACAGGTACTGCTGATGGAGGTGCACACGTTTGTAGCTGACAGAGCTGTGTGTGTGCATCTCTCCCTGTGTGTGCATCTGTATGTAGCTGCGGCAGACAACGGGTGAGTGACGTCAACCCAGCAGATCACGCGTAAGAGATCCATCTGCTGTCACCTCCATTTGTGAGCGTACAACGAGTTCCACGACTTCCCATGAAAGCACCTGCAGAGGAGACTTTACCTACTGTACTTTTGGTGCTGGTGCACACGTTTGTACTCACAGAAGCTGTGTGCGTATCAATTGCTGTGTGTGTAGCATAGGATCTGCAACTAACTG